AGCTCTAAGATTTTTGCTAGGTCATTGGACCTCTTTGAGACTCGATATCTTATAAAGTTAGATAGTTGATATTGGATTCTATTCAAAAGACTTAAACCTTAAGGTGGTTGTCCCTTCTCAAACTTATATATTACTTATCTTTTGTTTATCTTTTCGATATGAAATACGTACTCTAACAAGCCCAAATGAAACAAAAGCCCTAAATTAACCTAAACTCGAACTCATACTCTAGAACATATTAGTTCTAGATTTCTCTTCTTTCTTCCTACAAAATATCTCATTTCTAAGTTTCTTTTCTCTCTTTTTATAAAATATCTTATCTCTAAAATTGGCTAAACTTCCACCTTACCTCATTAACGATGTAGACTAAATTGTGGTTAGGACTTGTTTTCAACTAGTATAAATACCCCTCTCATGCATTTGGTTCAAGCAAGAAGTTAAGAAACAAACAAATAGCTATACAGAGCTAGTTAGGAAACATGAAAGAATTTCTCTTGTTTGAATGATGTGAGATAGAATGTGTAGTGAGATAATTGTGTTCAAGTGTGCGAGTGAGATAATTGTGTTCAAGTGTAATAGCAATAAAACACTATAATGATTTAAAGTATGACCTACACTTGCCATGTTTAGTAGATCCTATACGTTAGAAATAATCATTCTATATTCAAAGAGTTGTAAATGATATACAAATATTTATAATTAATAAAATAGTATGGTGTGGTATTTTCTCTCCTCAAATCTTTTGTACTTAAGAAATTCCAACACAAACCTCATTTAACAAACCTAATAAAGTTCTCCCACTACTAAAAGAATACATAAATGACGATTACTACTAATATAAACACCATCATCATCTTCAAATTATTTTCTTAACATCTATTAAAAGAAAGAAAAATCTAACAAAAACATTTAAGAATTGGTGAATCACCTGTCTTTTAAAAAATATCCGGTCCTTTTATAGATAAAAAGTAGAGCTCTCTAAACCTTTTAAATAAGAGTTTCTTAAAATAGACCTTTTTTTTTTCAAAACACGTAAGTAGGCAAGCCTCTTGCTACTAATGGAGAACATACCACAAGTTAAGCTTAAGGGAGTGAATTGTTTAAGAATATTGCTCGTATATTTCATTTTTTGTATTGAACACTATATATAAACCTATACATAAAGATAAACTTGTATAGTTACAAAGTGATACATGTACATGAACTAGGTGTCTTGTTATGGTTTTTGTCTATATCCATAAGTCTTTGTAGAGGTAGGATATGTACAATATGTTATGGATAAGACTTGGTGGAGATAGAGTGCACGATAGCGAGCTTTGGAGAAGGACTCTATAGTGGCGACTTGGGATGAGTCTTTAGGTAAGCAAGTGTCTTTAGTGGATTAGCTTAATACTCCCCTATAAAGGGATTATGGTTTTGCACCCACGGATAGTTTGTCTCTTAGAAACTGAAAAATGAGTTACAACCAATGGCTTGATAAGTATGTCAAAAATTTGATCTTGACTTGAAATGAATAACACCTGCAGATTACCTTTGGAAACCATGTATCGGACAAAATGGAAATCAATTTCAATATGCTTGGTATGAGCATGGAATAATGGATTAGCAGACCAAGTATGTTGCCTAATTTTATCACACCATATCGTTGGTTTGGATTCCAGTACTACCTCAAGTTCACCAAGAAGAGAGGTGACCTAAGACATTTCAGCAGCCTAAGTCTGCTATTACTTTATACTCGACCTTAGTGGAGCTTCAAGCAATGGTCTTCCGTTTTAAGGACCTCTAAGATATCAAGCTTGAACTGAAATATAATACACACCCTTCTTTGGATTTTCTATCATCTAAGGAGCCTACCTAGTCAAAATCCAAAAAACCAGAGAGCTTGGGAGAACTAGATTTATGAAGGTTCGATCCTAGTGTAATCTGTTTCTTTAAAGTAACGCAAGACTTTCTTAATAGCAACCTAATGTTCATCTTTAGGAGCATGCATGAACTAGCATACTTTGTTAATAGCATAGGGCGATGTCTAATCATGCTAGGATAGCATATTGGAGAGCCCTACCACCTACTTATAGAGGGTAATATCTTCAAATGGTATAGGAGATGCCGAGTCGGCTTAGAAGTAGTAGGATTGGGAGTCGAGACTAGGCAACAGTGGGTCATGCCATGTTTACTCGGTAAGTCGGTGATGTATTTTTACCGAGAGAGAACTAAGCCGTGCTTTACTAGAATCACCTCAATGCCTAAAAAGTAACTGATTTTTTCAAGATTCCTTATAGCAAATTTGGAGTTTAAGGACCGAATGACGGATCGGACAAATGAGTTATCATTCTTGTAAGAAGGATGTCATCTACATAGACCAAAATGAACATAGTGTAAGATCCAGATTTGTAGATGAATAAAGAGGTGTTCGTTTTAGATCCAACAAAACCAAAGTTCAATAGAAAGCCATGTAAGTAAGAGAACCAAGCTCTTAAAGATTGTTTTAAGCCATAAAGGGATCCATGTAAATGACATACGTGGTTTGGATAATTGGTGTCCATAAAGCCGAGAGCTATGACATGTAAACCGGTTCATGATGAAGCATTCCATTTAGGAATCATTGTAGATATCCAATTACTTAATTGTCCATCCCTAAGACACTACAAGCATCAAAACATAATAGATAGTGCTCGGTTTAACCACGAAGTCGAAGGTTTCGCCATAATGAACCCCCTCCTACTAGTGAAAACCTTTTGTAACTAATTTAACCTTATGCCTTTCAATAGAACCATCTACCCTTTTCTTGGTCTTGAATACCCACTTAAGGCCAATGACATTCATAGATGGAGAAGGAGGGACTAAGGACCATGTATCTATGTTGAGAAGGGTAAAGATCTCGATTGACATGGCCGTCCTTCAAGGATGGATTTTTTTTTGCTTCGGAGTAGCAGGAAGGTGTCTCAAGGATTTCCCATTGTAACATAATAAGGGAGGCATATAGCTCGTGATTTCTTAGACGTGTATCTCAAGACCATGGGATGTGTTCTTGATGGGTCATTGGATGGGGTAGGGTGGTTTTGTTAGATATTCCATACTAACTTAAATCAAAGATGAGATTTAAGCTAGTGTTTTATCTTGATGTGATAGGAGTAGTGGTAGGAGATAGAGTAGAGGTTTAGGGCGAGTTAGTAGGAGAATAGAGAATTGGAGGATTGGGTACCGGTGTGATTGTGTTTTTATCTTTTAGGGAAGGTAGGATAGGTATATTTTGGGAGGGGCTCGTCGACTCGAGAGTAGGGTAGGGTATTGTACGAGCTTGGGTTATTTGTAGTCGTGGAATTATTAGGAGGGCGTGTAGAGGCTTGGCTTAGGTGGGCTGGTCCGTTGTTTAGAGGAGTCGTTGGAGGAAGCCACATGATGAGATACTACATGGTAGGGATACGATTTGTTATTATTTGGGTTGGGTGGATTGGGGGCGAATTTTTATGGGGGGTTAATTGTTTTGGAGCCGACAAGAATTCATATGGTAGTGTAATGGAAGGTTAGTCTATTGTGAGGAGTTGTGGCAAGTGGGCCGAGTGAGATGGATCAACATTAGGAGGAAGGGAACGTGGGAGCTGGACAAGAAAGCTAGCCCAAAGATTAGAGTCACTGAGCATGAGAGAGAAACAAGTATAACATTTTTGTCTAAAAAGAAAATACAAATTCAATGAATTTGACATGATGGGACATATAAAAATAATTTGTTTTTAGATCTAGACATCGATAACCTAAGTGAGAGGGACTATATTCTAGGAAAATGCATGGAGTTGATCCGAAATTCATTTTATACTTATTATATGGTCGTAAATATGGAAAGCATAAACACCCAAAAATTCTTAAAAAGAATAATCGGGTTTCTAACCACTAATAATCTCATAAGGAGATGTAAATTTTGAAACAGGGGAAGGGATTCGATTAATTAAAACAATAGCAGTTTTAAAAGCAAAATGCCGGTATGTTTGAGGAACATTAGCCTCTCTTAACAATGTTAAACCAGTTTCAACAATATGTTGATGTTAACGTTTAACGAGTCCCATTTTGTTTATATGTGTGTTGACACATTATTCAAAGAGCTATCCTAATATTTTTTTAAAATACATTAAGACGATGAAATTCACCATCCTAATCGATTTGTACTTGTTTAATTTTGCAATTGAATTGTCTTTCAACAAGTCTTGGAAAAAGAATAAATGTGTTAAAGACATTTGATTTTTTTTTAAGAGGATAGTACCAAATGAATTTTGAAAAATAATCAATAAATATTACATAGTATTTTTGACCATCCAAACTAGCATTAGGGTAAGACCCTCATACATCACTAAAAATCAAATCCAAAAAACTAGTACTAGAATTAGTAGACGACTTTAAAGATAGTATATTTACCTTTCCTAATGGGCAAGATAAGCAAGGACTAAACAAGCGGAATTCTTTAAAATAAGACTACGAACCCAATTATGAGGATGACCTAATCGGGAATGCCAAATTTTTAATGACGCTCGAACGAGATAATGCTTCGAGGATCGAAAGAGAAGGAATAGTAGATAGGATATAGAAACCCGCATCACTCGGCCACGAAAGAATTTGTTTCTTGTGCACTTAGTCCTTTACACAAAAATTAGAAAGGTGACATTCTCAAAATAAATTATTATCGAAGCAAGTCGTTTGATGAAAAGTAAGGGGTGAGTGATTTTTGGTACAAGCAAGACATCTAGTAAGACGAGATTTTGATGGTGTATGAATGTAGCTTGTGCCAATATTTACGATAAGAAGATACTCACCATTATCCACTTGGAGTTGTTCGGAACCATGATATGGCTTATAAGTGCTCGAGCTAGCCAAATCAAGAGTTATATGGTGTGAGGCTTTAGTGTCCGGGCACCAAAAATTAAAGTGCAAAATAGTATGTGGAGTAGGAGAAAAAGTTGTTAAATGAGCCGAAGCATTAGAAGATGGAGAATACCTTTGTGGGCAATGAGTTACCGAATGATTCCAAAAGGAATAGAGTTGGCATTGAACTTTTGATTATGATGGAATCCATGGTCATGTAAAGTGAGCATTGTTAGAGGACTTGTTGTTATTGTTGTATCGATCACGTCCCCTACCTTGAAAGTTTCAACCTTGACTAGAAGGGAAATTGTCACCCATTTTTTGGGAGTAGTTGGCAGATGGTGGAGTGGGCAAAATGCCTTGAGTAGGGAGAGCGAAGCAGAATCAAATTCTTTATGCAAAAATTCATAATCGAGAAGCATGTTGTGAAGATCAACAAAGGTAACTAGTTCGGATCTAGTGGATAATGTGATGATTATGTCCTTGAAGTATCTAGATAAGCCCTTAATGACATATAAATTAAAATTAATTAGTCGAAGAGGTCGACCGAGTAGTAGCAAGTTCATCATCTGTATGATTTAGCATGTTGAAGAAATTGAGAGACAAATTCATTTAGCTTCGGTATAACCTTTTTAAGGAAGATGGAAAGTCATAATACGTGTTCTAGATGGAGAAGTAAGTGTCTGTTTCTAGCACGATCCATGCATCACGGGGTGTAGCGCGAGTTTAGACCATGGGTAGAATATCAATAGAGAGGGAGGCAATTAGGGTGCTCATAAGCAATTAATCTTTCTAAACCCAAGCCAAATAAGTAGGATTGGGTATGGGTAGGCTATCATCTTTAGAGGTAATGTGTTTGGGAGGGCATATATTTGAGCCATCAAAAAACCAAAAAGGCATTGTCAATAGAGAAAAGGTTTCATCCGAAAACGCTAGAGCAAAAAATTGGTGCTAGTTAATTTCAAGGAGAGAAAGTTGTGAGCATTAGTCAATTGGCTAATGGAAGGTGGAGGCAAGGATTTAGGTGTAGTTGTAACAAGAGAGGAGATATTACTAGAGTTGGCCATTTATGGGAGATGGCAAAGGCTAGAGAAGAAGAAGAGAAAAAAAATTTTCTATTGGTTTAGTCTTAAAAGGTTATGATACCAAGTTAAGTTTAAGGGAGTGAATTGTTTAAGAATATTGTCGTATATTTCATTGTTTGTATTGGACACTATATATAAACCTATATATAAAGATAAACTTGTTGATAAGGACATAATTAATATAATTTTAATCCTTGATACTTAGTTTATTATGCATGATTTATGTTTAATTATACTTAATTGGGCTATTTTATGTTTTAGGTACTAATTTGGAAGCAAAGGAGAGAAAGGGGGACTAAAATGCAAGTTTGGTAACTTAATTCACAAATTGGTGAATTCCATTTAATCATGAACAGGCCATGACCTCATAAGGCCGTTCATGACTTTGCTAATTCAAGAAAAGAGACATCAATTGAACGACCCCCAGTTCCAGAATCCGTTTAATGGCCTCTGCACATATTTTTCAACGCCAAATTCAATATTCCATGAACGGGGTGTCGCTCCTCAACCTGTTTCAAGACCCGTTCGTGCACTATTTCATAAGCGACCACCGTACATTGCCTTGATTCTTATGTCGTTTCTCTACTGTTTAATGAAACCTATGCACGGACCCATGGCCAGACCCTCGTTTGTCAGCGAGAAAAATAAAATTAAAAGTTCCGAAGAGACTTGTACTGTCTTGGTTTCCTAATTTAACTCTAACACTTTGTACTCTATAAATACCCTTGTATTCTTTAGCGTTAGGGATCTTTTCTGCAAAGCAGACTTTACACTTTTCTTTCAAATAAAACCGTGCTTTTAAAAGTCATGAGTATAACTTGATTACTTAATTAATGTATAATGATATTATCTTTTATTGTCGATAACGAATCACCAATTTGGACGAAAAAGTTACGCTTGGATTGAAGTTTTTAATTATTGATTTATAATTTTATTTTGATTTGTTTATGTTTAATTTCGAATTTTCAACAAGAAATCCCTTTTACTTTTGTTATTAAGTATTTATTAATCATAAGAATTTTTATGGGGTCGATCCTTATTTTTTTTATCTACATTATTGTTGATTGTCAGAAATAAAATTTATTTTTGATATGCTGCTACACACATCACTTGCATAGTTACAAAGTGATAGACATGTGCATGGACTAAGTGTCTTGTTGTAGTTTTTGTCTATATCCATAAGTCTTTGCAGAGGTAGAATATGTACAGCTGCTACGGATAAGACTTGGTGGAGATAGAGTGAACGGCAGCAACTTTGGAGAACGACTCTGTAGTGGCAGCTTGGGATGAGTCTTTAGGTGAGCAGGAGTCTTCACGGGATTGGCTTAATACCACACAACCATACTCCATTGATTGAAGATTTTAGTCATCTAGCACGGTAAATGGATGTCTATTCATTTAAAATAATAAGATAGAATCTCAAATTTTTTATTCAAATGATCTAATCTCTCATATTTTGAAACATAAAAGTCTTATTTACAGAGAGAACCATACCTACAAATCAAACATGAAAAGATCATGTCTTGACAGTATGAAAAAACAGAAGAATGGAAAAATATCATTCATATAAAAAAAGTCAATAAAAAAGGATTGCGGCAAGTCAAAAGTAGCTTACGTCAATCCAAACTAGAGTATTAAAAAAGTGATTTCTTCATGATCGTTAAAAGAGAGAGATGAGGAGGCGGAATTATTTCCTTTTACACCACCATCATCATTAATTTAATAAAAATTTTAAATTTTAATTAATACCTTTTTTTTCATGTTATGTGACACAAATTATAACATCAGAGTATACGGAATAATTGATCGTAAGTGACATAATTATAGGATTTTTTCATTTATAATATGTTATGTTTAATTAATTAGAAAAAAAGTAGAGACACCTTATGATTAATTAATTAGAAAAAAAATAGAGGTTATAAGATTCGAATTTGTAATAATTAGATTAGTAGGATTTTGATATCATGTCAAATGATCAATTCACCTAAAAGATTAAATTATTAGGTGAAGTCTCATGATACGATTTATATTATTCTCTAGCAATATAAAAACTAATGCAAAAATATTATATTAATTAACTGTCAATTGTAAAACGAAAAAAAAAGGCAAACAAAAACTTTATTTATAGATTCAATTGCATGAAAATGAAATGGAATTGGCCTAAAGAAGAATAGAACGTCAAACTTTCTTTCCAAACTCCTCACATGCAAAAGTTAATCAAATATATCTCTTCCTGATCACTCCTCGTCTCCCCTAATCTTATCAGTTAGGGATGGATTCTGGCACAATTCCATATCTTAACGCTGCCGTAACAGGTGTCTTGTTTCTTGTACTTGTCTATTGCTACCATATGACAAGCAAGAGGAGAGCTGCCAAGTGCAAAATGGCACCCGAACCAGCAGGTGGATGGCCTATATTGGGCCACCACAAACTCTTAGCAGGCTCTCATCTTCTCCACAAAACATTAGGAGCCATAGCTGACAGGTATGGTCCAATCTTCACCGTAAGGCTTGGGGTGAATCCAACTTTGATAGTTAGCAGTTGGGAATTGGCCAAGGAATTGTTCACCATCAACGACCTGGCTGTGAGCTCTCGGCCACCTTTTACAGCTGCTAAATATTTGGGCTACAACTTCGTCATGTTTGCTTTTTCTCCACAAGGTCCATACTGGCGTGAAACACGCAAAATAGCCACTTCAGAATTACTATCAAACCGCAGGCTTAATCAACTGAAGGATGTCAGGATTCATGAAGTAGAAACATCTTTAAAAGAGCTATACACGCATTGGGATAAAAAAAGAATGGCTCAGGCTATGTTGATGTTGATTTGAAGCAATGGTTTTGGGGCGTAACTCTAAATGCGATTCTTAGGACGGTTGCAGGGAAGAGGTATTATGGCAGTGCTGTGGGTGATGATGATAAAATTAAAGCACAACAGTGGCAGAAGGCTGTGAGGAAATTTTTCGAGTATTTAGGGATTTTTGTTGTGAGGGACGCTCTACCTTTTCTTGGGTGGCTTGATATTGGTGGGCATGAGAAAGCCATGAAGAGAACTGCTAAAGAAATGGACAGCATTCTAGGTGAATGGTTGGAAGAGCATAAGCGAAAAAGACTTTCAGGCGAGGCTGATCAAGCAGAGCAAGATTTCATGGACGTTATGCTTTCTGTCCTTCAAGGCACTGATCTTGGAGGTTATGATGCCGATACAGTAAACAAAGCCACATCCTTAGTAAGTTTAATTCCATCGTCTGTTTTTGAGATTACTGATTGATTAATTTGTAAGCATGAGCCTCTCCAAAAGTCCTATCAGTATTCTGAAAAGTTGCACCTGAACACATCAAAATTTTAACACAAAAAATTCTGAAATGACCTGAAATTATAAAGTCATTAAACTCATTTGAAACTTTAAAAATTTCATAATGAATACAACTTCCTATATACCTAATAAAATTATAAATTTTATTTTAAAGTAGAAGAGATTATATAATCTTAATTTATCTGATTAAAAACCTTTTTTTTTTTTTTTTTTTGCCCACACCCATTTTCGATTATATTTTTCAATCTTTATTTTTTATATTCAACCTGAAAGGTAGTTTCATTAATTGTTTTATAAAAGTTCCTAAAAAATACTATCTAGTCATCATAAAATAAAATAATTGTTAATGGAATTAACTTTTTTTATTTACCGAAGAAACTGTTCGGTATATCAAAATTATACCTTTTTTTTCACATAATAGTGGAATTCGAAAATAATTTTCAGGATAAACCTCCTGTTTCTGTAAAAGGACAAAAGGCATACTACCAGAATGTCTTTGAACCAGACTAACGACTATTTTATTATACTGGCTCCATATCCAATTTATTCGAGAAACTATAGTTAAATCTCACCCGTGACCCGTATGCCCACGCCCATTTATACTCATAACATCCCAATTAGCCCAACATATAATTAAACATAGAATAAATTTTTATAAAAAATTAGACCACAGATGAAAGTAGCACCTTGCAAAAACAGAGGAATATGTAGGAAGAACTGTTCAGTGTTGAAGCCGTAGCCCAAACCTCATCATGCATATGTAATCCCCAAGTATTTATAGGAGTATTTTTATAAAATATTGAAAAATTTATATTATGTTATTAGGAGAAAAAACTGTCGTTAATCAATTTTCATGACAGTCAAAGACGGTCACAGACGGTGATTTTTCATAACAATAAAAAACAGTCATAAACCATTATTTTTCATAATAGCAAAAAAAAGAAAAAAAACGAACAAAAATAGTTATTTTTCAAAATGATCAATAATAGTAAAAAACGATCAGAATTGGTTAATTTTCATTGCCTTATATATGGTTTTGTTCTTGTCATTTATAAGGATTATATACATTACTTAGGGAAAAAATGGCTTTTTTATTTTCTCTTTTTATTCGCCAATTAAAAAATCATATTCTTTGTGTTACAAATTCAGATAAGAATATGTTGTGGATTCTTTTGCGCTGATCTTAACTAAGAAGAATTTAAAACAAAAGGATTATAGGATAGTTGGAAGACAGGCTACAAGACACTCTATCTTCTAAACTTTGAATTAAATGGCTAAAATTATCAAGTAGGGTTGTCCTATTATTGTTCTTAAACATATTCCAATACTTACAATAAAAAGAATTTACTACTTACACTTGAATGCAATAGTCTAAAAATCTTTTAAAGGGTTTCTAGGCTATCCAAGACGCTTGGACTGTAAAATTGGAATGTGAATATATTGTCAATGTAATAACTAAAAACAAGATTGGAATGCGAATGTACTATGCGTGTAGTAATTAAAAACTAATATTTAAATAGTATGCAATCAACAATAACCAAGTAACTTAAAACTAATGACAAACACATGAATTACGTACTACAAAGTCGAACGGAAATTGAAATTGGTATATACTAAATCAAAAGTTTTTTTTACAAAAGACAACTCTTTACAAATGTAAAAAACTTAAAAACATAGAAATTGATGAGCAAACATCAATTGAAACTCCAAACATTGAGAGACGAGATCCGCATGTGCTTAACGAGAGTGAAAATCAAACCAAAGATGATCTATCGACCTACTACCACTACTTTCTATTACTACCTATTGATTATTGCTTACAAGCTATAGCCTATTGTGTTTCAAGTGTTAAAACGATTTGACGAGATAATGTTGATAATTTATAAAAGTATTGTTTTTGCATGTGTTTGTTATGTGTGTTTGTTACATGGTTGCAACTAATATTTATAACATTCACATCTTTCAACATCTTTATTTACTAGTCACTTTCTTAAGTTGCAACATTTCATAACTTATCGCCTTGGCTTGCGGTGCTTTCACATCCATATTACTTTTGGCTTATGCCCTAGATGTTTAAGTCACTTACTCACCCACTTGTAACCTTGTTACTCTTCTATTTTTTAATAGGATTTGACTTTCCACTTTTAATTTTTTTTTTTTTTTGTTCATGAACCTATCCTATTTGGAATTATATTAAGTCTTGTTATCTTTTAGATATAGCACTTTTTTGGGCTTCGTTTATGGATGAGCTTACTTTGTAAACTTGATAACAAGCGTGACAATTGCCATTAATAGCCCATGGCGCGAACTTTATAACCAAGTCTTTGTTGGACTTCTTTTAATTTGATAGGTCATCGTGTTCCAATCAAATTTAAGTGTAGCGAATTGTACTATATTTTGTTAATTTTCAAGTCTTACAAGTGTTATGAACTTGTTAGACATAATAAGGTAATTGAACTTGTTATAGCTTCAGATGATTTGCAATATATATTTAATTTGTTACATCCGAAATAGCAAGCAAACGATATGTATCATTTCAAGAAAGTAACTTAGTTATTGCTACCTTTTTGTATTGACTTTCATCGCCATTTAGTTTCGATGCTTGCTTCTTATTAGTTGGGTTGTTGCATTCCCTAGTTTCATTGTACCTAGTTCATTGCAACATCAAATTGCCTCTTTTCTTCTTCTTCTTCTTCTGTTTTTTTTTTTTGGACTATCGTTTTGATACTCGTTTGCAATTCATCCTATCTTAATGCATTGTAAAACTAAAGGATCTTTGCTAAAAATCTATGCAACATCTTAACAACTTTTTGATGTAGTTTCTAAATTTAATTAGAATTGCCTGCAGATGTTTGAATTCAATCAAATAAATCTTTTCTTTCCAAGTTATAGTCATTAACCATTCATGAACCAATTCTAATCGGTATTTGTTAGCATTTTTGCCTTTGTATCTTGCCTACTATTCTCATGTTCAAGGCTTCATAGAAAGCAACTTAGTTGTGTTTCGAGATAGTTACTTGAAAATTTTAGTAAAATTATCTTGATAGTTCAATCATCTCTATACTATAAAATTATAGTAACATGATTTTAATAATTGATTTTTTTAATAATCAAGTAAAATTTTTTTATTCTTTATTCATCTTAATTTACAAAAAATTTATTTATTTATTAAGTAATTTTATATTTAATCATGGCTAGGAATAAAGTATCTACTTGCACTTTCATAAAAAAATGTTTCGCCTCACATTCATTAATTAACCTAACATTAATTTCATTTAACGAGCTATGATTGCCGGGGCCGGTGACACCACCACGGTTACTTTGACATGGGCTTTGTCTCTACTCGCTAAACAACAAGCATGTATCGGAAAAAGTCCAAGAAGAATTGGACGGATGTGTAGGTGTGGAAAGACTAGTGAATGATGCGGATATTAGCAACCTAGTCTATCTCCAAGCCATAGTTAAAGAGACATTACGGTTATATCCAGCAGCACCACTTCTAAGCACCTCGCCAATTCACCGAGGACCGCACTATAGGTGGCTACCATGTCCCAAAAGGCACTCGGCTTTTAGTGAACAATTGGAAAATTCAAAGGGATTCTCGTATATGGCCAAATCCGTTGGAATTCAAGCCACAGAGGTTTCTTACCATGCATAAGGATGTCGATGTTAGGGGTCAAAATTTTGAGTTAATCCCATTTGGAAGTGGCGAAGGGCTTGCCCCGGAATCTCTCTTGGCCTCCACATGGTGCATCTAACATTGGCTACTTTTCTCGCAAAGATTTCAAATTTCTACTCCGGAAAATGCACCGGTTGATATGACCGAGAGCTCGGATTAACAAACCTCAAAGCCACCCCACTTGAAGTTCTTCTCTCACCGCGCTTGCCTCCTCACCTTTATGCCTAGATATTGTAATTACTATTATTACTAGTACAATAAAAATGTTGGGCAAAAGTAAAGGTGAATTTCACTCTAATTCCCATGTTGGCTGATCTATCAAACCTAAATAGCCTTTCTATTCTATCAATTTCCTTTTTAATTTCATGTAAAAACATGGTTTATATATTTTATCAAATACCTAGGAAGTATCAATTTCCTATAAAATAATTTCTCCCAATTATTCTTGGTCACGGTCGAATGATTCATCCCAATGAACCCATTACATGAGCTTCTCCTTCTCCCATTCAATCACCCAATCATACCAAATCCCATTCAATTATTCAAATCACAACTATCACATGATTTAAACATAAATCCATAAATTCACAATTCATAACAACAACAATTAATCAATCAAGCATTAATTAAACACTTAAAGAATCAATTCACTTGTAGTGTAGGTGAGATTACATTTATCGATCATAATCATAATGATCAATCATTCATTAATTTCATAAACCAAACATCAATTGAACATAAATCATTCAATTGCATAAGTTAAAATCCTAGGTTTTTATGAACACAATTCTACCAATTCAATAGATAATCATCCTAAGTCTTGTGGTGAATTGAAGTTACATGTACTTAGATATGATTGAGGATGAAGTCACCTTAAAACCTCCAAAATCACAACTCTATTTCTTGCCCAATATCTTGGCCAAAACAGACCTCCTCTCCCTCTTAAATAGTTTTCTCCTCCTTTTGGCCAAGCTTACATCCTTTGATTAATTTTAGCTTCTTCCCTTGATAAATTATATTTCTCTCTAGATTTCCCTCTCTCTTGCTCTCTTTCTCTCAAAGAAGGTGGTGGAAAAAGTGCAAGCTCAAGTGAAATCTCCCTCTCTTATTTTCTTCTCTTAGCTAAATGTTTTGGACTAAAATGCCCTTTATAAGCTATATGTCCTAAAGTGGTTATTTTATACTTAGACATTTTAATTTAGGTGAAACACCTAATTGGGATATTATTTTTTTAGATTAATAAATATTTAGGTCACTAATTATATTTTAATTCTAA